AGAGACTAATGGCAGGAGAGAGCTGGTCCAACAAGAGACGCGCGGGCATCAGATTGGCAAGGGCATTCTGCAGCCCATCTGCGCGCGCGCATTCCAAGCCGATCGTAGGCCCGCGGGCGCTCGGCCCATCTCAGAGACGGGTCCGACACCGGGGGGGGGGGGGGGGCGTCGGCGACGGATCCCCCTGCCTGATCCCTGGGCGCCCAACCTCGGCGCCCCCCGCGAAGCCAACGCATGCAATGCCGCGCAGACAGCGCCGGGGTTCGGGCGAGGTGGGCCTCGCTCGCCCAGAGCGCCCACCAGTCCGACCCGGCGCCCCATGAGGGCCCGCCCTCTCTTTGGAGTCAGCAACCATGTCTTCGCCTTGCCCTTGATCTCCTCAGACCCCCTGCCCTGGCCCGCCCCCTCCAACTCGTTCACGAAGCATCTGTTTTTCAAAGCAACGATGAGCGAGCGCAGGACGTCGGGGACCGCGCAGAACCTGCGGTCGCCATCGGGGAGTGGAAAGAAAGCGCCCTGGCATCGGAGCGCACGAACGACGAGATGCCACTACTGACCCCTTCCGCCCACGGTGTGCCACGAGAAAAAAACCTTGGAGGTGCTCACCGTCATTCGCTGCTCGCCGACGATTCCTTAGAGACTGCCGGACTGCAGCTGCCGCCACCCCGCAAAAAACAGACGCCGCCCTCCGAGCGCGCTCTGACGGGCCATCGAGAGGGTCACCCCTCCAGCTGTTCCGCTGCCGTCCTCCTGCGCGCCGAATGCACTGAGAAGGGGCCTCCAGGTGTAGGACAGGCGAGGGTCACAGAAGCGAGGATGCAGTCTGAACCCTCATTCAATGAATGTCTGGGCCCCTACAGCGCAAGCAGGGGGCGCCCGCTCAGTGACGGCGCCCGCTGGGGGCGCGGAGTAGACGCTGTCAAGCCGCGAGAAGCCGCGAATCTCATCGCCCGCTATGTCCCTGCGCGCGAAGTCCAGATACAATCTTGCGCGCCAACAGCCACAATGTTCGCGAAAGGCGGGAGGTCACGGCGGGCGCGGGGCTCAAGGTCCACTCCGCCCCCGGGATCGCGAAAAGTACACGATCCCCCAGTCGCGCACTCCGCACGGGACGTTGGAACCATCAGAATGCCCGGGAATCAATGAACACCTTCTCACTGCAGTTGAAAACCTTAACATGGGTGCTCCGAATACCACTGTCCAGCGCGCGCTTGTTCACGATAGGGGGAACAGCCTGATGCAAAACTGCTTCCAGTGGAGGGCGACGGAATCCCAAGACCACCAGACGAGCCGGTTGCGAACGCCACTTGGTTCGATTCGACGCCGAACCTGCCGCCATATTTGCTCACCATCGTCAGAGGTTGCCGTTCCAGCGACAGGGGTCGCTGTTACCCCGATCGTCTCCCTCCTCAGATCCTTCTCGCCAGCCTCACGATCCTGAGTGGCCTGCAAGGGGGATTTTCCTGGATAGGACAACAACTTGCGAATTTATGCATAGTCTGCTCGAGTCCGCCGCTGTACTACCTGGGGGTGGCGGGCATTCGGGGCGGCCCCCTCCCCAATCACTCTCCACAGAAGTGGTGGGAATTTGAATTCTCCCAGCGCGCGGGGTCGCATTCCGCATGGCCTACATGGCCGAAACTGGAAAGAGGGCTGGAGCAGGCGAGGCGCGGCAGCCGATGGCCGGGGGGCGCGGCCGCGGCCCGCTTTTGGTGCCTGGCCACTGGGCGACTCGAGAGGTTGGGTGGTTCAGGGGCAGGGGCCCCTTGAGCCAAGATGGCCACGGATGAAGTGGATGATGCTGTTGATGATGATGATGATGATGATGATGATGATGATGATGATGATGATGATGATGATGATGATGATGATGATGCCTATGCTGATGTCGACGACGATGTTGATGGTGATGAGGATGATGACGATGACGAGAAGGAAGAAAAGGAAGAAAACTGTGACAACGAGAATGAACATGATCATCCGGATGACTCATGATGACGATAAATCGGAAGGGTCGCCAGAACATGAAACAAGGGGCCTCCGTCATTGAGGGGCCAACCAGGTTGGATGAAACACGCCTCTTCGGATTTGACATTTGCCAGGATACGTTGAACCACCCCGTGGGTCTCCGGTAAGGAAAACGACGCACCATGCATCCCCCAACCAAATTAACGGATTATCTTAGCTACCCAAAGTAGGCCTCGAACCTTCAGAAAACATGTGCAGAGTAATGCGCTGTATGTGTTCCCTGAGTTGTGTTGTCGTGTTATACATGCTGGTGATTCGTGACTGGGCGCCCCAGCCAAACCAAATGATAAGATGCGATATGGTGTTGGTTAGGGGGGTCCGCTGGGGCGACCGTCCTCTCTTTGATCAAGGGGTTCTCCCCGATCCACTTCGCGGGGCTGTAGCGAAGCGGCGTGGCGGGGCCATCTGGAGGAGAGGGGGTGATAGAGAAAGGGCGAGAGGAGGACGGAAAGTGCGGAAGAACAAAAAGACCTGTGAGGGGAGGAAAGGTGCAACAAAAACAGGAGGGAGGAGACAAAAACGGGGATGAGGGAAGAGGAAGGGGAAAAGGAATGCACGGACATTGGGGCCGACAACTGGGGGGAAGGGGAATAGAAGAGGTTACAGAAGACAGCAGACGCGAAACCTTGGGAGGTGGCGAAAGATGGATCGTCGAAGTACCGCGGGTGATAGCGGGGGGCGGGGTCAAGAATCAAGGGGTCGGGAGACGAGCGCGACGGCGAACCGGAGTGGAGCAGAGCTACAAGCAAGAGGCAGGAAACAGCCCATGTTTCCACCCCGTGCTCCTGAAGCCCTTCCTCGTCCTCGTTCTCCTCCTCCTCCTCCTCCTCCTCTTCCTCGTTCGTTCCTGTCCTCCTCCCCCCCCTCCTCATCCACCTTCGCCCTTGTCCTCCTCATCTTCGACCTTCCCCAAGTTGTCCTCCATTTCCTACTCGTGTTCGTCGTCCTCCTCCTCCTCCTCCTCCGCCCACCCTGACGAGACGCCACTACTAATTATGACCCTGACGATAAAACATTGGCAACTGCTTCGCAGATGGAAAGCGGGTGGTTTTCAAAATGCTGTTCTCGCCCTGGCGCCGCGCACATTCGTTTTAAAAAGTTGCAGGAGCTACACGGATTGAGAGCGACCCGTTTTCAACACGTGGTTTTCGCCGTGGCGCCGCGAACATTAGTTTCAACCAGATACAAAAGTTTCACACGTTGAGGGCGGCTCCTTTGCAGTGGCTCTCGCTGTAGCGCCGCGCAGACTCGTTTTAGAGAATTGCAAGGGTTCCACGGATTCCCGTGAAGAGCGTACCAGGAATTGCGTTTTGGGAAAATTCGCAGTGTTGAAGTCCTAAGAACGGCGTTCTGGTACGATTCATGATCGTCAAGACGCAATCATCGGGTTGATCCGTGGCGTTGGAATCCTGAGAACCATGTTTTGGCATGCTTCAGGGTCTTCGAACGGTTGTCTTCCAATGAGGCAGTTCCCTCATTGGAAATGAACCGTCGTAGGGGCTTATGAAGACGGAGCGTGGAGGAAGGGTTTGTTCCAACATCGTTGATGACTCTTGGGTTTACACTGGTCCTCCTCCCTCCTCCTGCTGCTCCTCCTCCTCATCCTCCTCTCCGCGTCGTTTTGTCGAAACCGTCGTGCGGCGATGGGCAAGGAGGACAGCAACGTCATCGTCGTCGTCGCCTTCCTCCTGAGACCGCCGCGAGGTCAGAACAGGACACGCCCTCTGCACTTCGCTGGGACGGCGAAGAAGATGTCGTCGCCCTCCTCCCCCATGTGGGCGAGCAACACATCATCAACATCCGCGGACTCGGGGGCCTGGGCCCCTGGGCCGCGACCCTGCGGGCGCTTGGCGCTGTCGCGGCTGCCTCGCGCGGAACGCATCCGTGCGGCCAGACCGCGAAGATGCGGACACGGATTTGTTCGCCGCTCGTGAAGTCCGGTTCGGCGTTGGACAAACCTCCCTTCAGAAAACCACCCTTTAAGGAAAACGGCCTAGACGGTCCTGGACCCGCAACAATGCCGGCCGCGACGCCCTCTCACGAACCGACAACGGGCCAATTCGCTAATCGACGCGTCAGGGTAGAAGGTCTACCGACCAGTTCCCCGCGGTTTTCGGGCAAAAGCTCGGCTCTCCAGCGGCCGCTCGAGACGAGCCGGGCCCCCCCGGAACTCTCTCGGCGAGGCGCAGCTGCTGGAGAGCATCCCCAGGCTGGAAAGCCGCTCGGGACCGACGAAACGCCCGAAAACCTGCAACCTCGATGCAGTCAAACTTGATACATATATATATATATATATATGTATATATATATATATATATATATGTATATATATATATCATGGCAATAGTATTGCTGATGCAATAGCATGACACACATGAATAATAATACGGATCATAGTAAGAATAATCGTAATACTAATGATGATAATAATACTAATGATCATAATCATGATGGTGAATCAGTAATAATAACAAGAACCGTGCCAATATTATTATCAAAAAAACTGGAATCATAATCGTACGGATGCGCGAGAAGGTCGCAAGCCCCTTGGACGCCCCCGTGTCGAAGCTTCTCGAGCGGGGCTGGCCATCGAGAGTGGTCAAGTATGTGCCGAACAGGCGAGGACGGACGGGCACCCTCGGAAGGGTTACTATGGATCGCCTAATAATCGCCCCCCCCCCGCCCTTGGAGTGCCCAGGGGGGTTGGCCGCGGCGAGGCCGCGGGGGTGCCAGGGGGGGTCTGGGGTTCGATCCCTTCCCCGCTGGGGCGCGACGGTGGTGCCGTGGGGGGTTGGCCGCGCCCCGTTTTCACGCTTGTCACCCCCCGGTTGATGAATAAGAAAATTCGGGCTGCCCATCCTTACCGTCGATTTCGACTGTAGGTTCGTCGCCCTCCTCCTTCACCTCGTCCCCATGGGGGTACAGGGGCGGCTCCGCTGCGAGAGGTTAGGTTGGCCGAGCCCCGGGAGAGCCACTGGTGCGTCTGCCGGCCCTGGAAGGGCGAGAACCTCCTGTGGAGGCCGGCCAGCAAGAGGAGGAGGAGGAGGAGGAGGAGGAGGAGGAGGAGGAGGAGGAGGAGGAGGAGGAGGAGGAGGGAGGAGGGAGGAGGAGGAGGACGAGGAAAAGGAGGAGGATGACTTGAGGTAAAATGGCTCTGGGGCGCCTTAACCCAGTTAGTGGGCCCAGTTTCCTGGGGACACCACCCTGGAGGGCACGGTGGCCAAGAGGAGGAGGAGGAGGAGGAGGAGGAGGAGAAGGAGGAGAAGGAGGAGGAGGAAGAGAAGGAGGGGGAGGAGGAGGAGGAGGAGGAGGAGGAGGAGGAGGAGGAGAAGGAGGAGGAGGATGAGGTCTCCTCCCCCCCCGAGGTGCATTATCATTGCTCGTCATCATCATGGTCATCGTCATAAGCATCATCATCATCCTTCGCGGTCCGTCCCTCTTGCCTCACTTCTTTCCTCTTGGTCTTGGTTCTGCCCTCCAACAGCACTGGCTGGGAAAGGGTATAGAGGGCATCGGGGCGACCACTCGATACAGTCCGCATCACCAAGTCACCGAGGAGGAGAAGGAAGAGGAGAAGGAGGAAGAGGAGGAGGACGAGAGGCAGAAAAGGAGGAGGGAAAGGTCCTCCTCCTCCTCCTCCTTCCTCCTCTTCCTGCTCGTCCTCCTGCGCTGTATTGACTCCTGCCCATTTGCTACTTCGAAAGACGGGGGAGGAACGAGGTCGAGGAAAGAAATGGAGGAAGAGGCGGAGGAGGAGGAGGACAACTATACTGAGAGGATGTGGAGGCGGAGGAGGAAGAGGAGAAAGAGGGCGGAGGAGGAAGGCGTAGGACGAGGGATGGGATGGAGGCAGGATGAGGGCAGAGTTGGAGAGTGGAGCAGGGCAGCGGATGAGGAGTATGTTGAGGAGCAAGAAGACAATGATGGGTCAATGTTCCACCAGCACCACCACAGGTAGAACGGAAAAGAAGGGAGGATGGAGAGGTCCTCCTCGTCCTCTGTTACCTCATCCACTTTCTCTGTCTCTTTCTCTTTCTCCTCCTCCTCCTCCCCATCCTCCTGATACCTTTCCTACCTTTGGTAGCAGTGGTGGAAGATCGGCCCATCAGATAATGTGGACTCTGAGGTCCGAGGAAGAAGGGACAGGCGACGGAGGAGTAACATAATGAGGACTAGGATGAGGGGCAGGGACATCACAGCACGGACAGAAGCGGTGAGGAAGGAGGGGGAGGGACGACAGAGGAAGAAGAAAGGAGTAACACATGAGGCAAACATGCCAAATAATGGAGATACGACTGACATTTATGACGACCATGGTGACAACACAATCTTCGGATGGAAGCGACGCAACTTCGTGCGAACATCCACAGACAAACCACTCTACTCTAGAGTGGTTGAAAGGGGCTCGAAAGAAAACATGGAAACGGGAGAATACAGGGCGGGAAAGAGGATGGGAGATGGGAGGACAGGGGATGGGGAGGCTGTGGCTGTGACGATGTGGCGTCGTCGTCCCCGTCATGGCTGTGGATGGCGGCCGAAGAAGATCTGTGAGGAGAAACGCCTCGAAACGATCCGACCTACGACGGCCCCATTAACTAACACATTAGTTTGCTTCGAGCGACCCCCGCCGAAATCTGCAGAGTGTGCCCCAACGGTGTTCACGCCTACTGAATTGGCGCGCGCGAGGAGGCGGCAGGAGAGGCGGAGGAGACAGCCGCGGAGGAAGGAGAATGCGGGCAGCGGAAAGGCCGTTGCCTCAGGTCGGCATGTCCTCCTACAGGCGGACTTTGGAATAACAGCAAAACATGGTCAAACATACTCAAAGCACATTCAAGCAACCACGAAACATTGTCACCAGACGATGGTTCAACTGGCTGATTGGCCCCCCTTCCCGCCTCTGCGTCACATCCGATTCGTACCTCCTCCCGTTCCTGTCCTCGTCTTATATTGATCCCATCGTACTTAATGACCCCATCCCAGAAACAATTTCGAGCACCTGGAAGAGTACCGAAACAATGTCGAAACAGTGTCGGACGAGTGTCTCCCAGGGCCCGACGCGCGAAAACCCTCGAGCCTCGGTACTTTCTTGGTGCTCGAGATTCTTTCTGGCGGTCAAGGCTAAGGTAGGTTGGAACATCATAACCCTCGTCCTCATTCTCCCACTGGGGGCGGCGCCGTGCTCCTGCTCGGGGATCTGCTAACCCGGGTCAACCAGACCCGGGTCAGCAGGAAATCAACAAAACTGCAATGCAGCGCGGGGCTTCGCGAACCTGGGTCAGCCAATAGGCGCGGCCGCCTCGCGGCCACGAGCTGCTCGCTAACCCGGGTCAGCCAGAGGGGAGCTCCGCAGCATTCTGCAGGATCCGGTGCCCTGGTCGACCCCCGCTTGGATGGACCCGGGGGGGTGCGAGGGCCCGCGCCGATCGGAAAAACAATGAACAGAAAAACGATCATCTTGCAAATGATGGGCGTCGTTGTCTCCAAAGACGGTGTACCAGTTCTCTCTGGCGTAGCTTGGAAACCGTGTGTCTGCAAGTACTTGCACAGGTCGTCGCACGCAAGGACGGACAACCCCAACAAACAACATCAACCTGCTGGGCTGCCGGGTGGCTGACGGAGCCTGCCGAGCCAAGAACCTCTCAAGTTTTGGGGCGGCGAACAACGTACAGCATGTCGCATTCGTCTTGCGTCGCCCGCCTGCTGTGATGGTTACTCGACTTCGTCTGTCCGGGATATTTGAGTGCGATGAGGGTTGCGGGGGCCTGGCAGGATGCTGATTGAATAAGCGTGGGATGATTGCATCACTTTTTCCTATCATGCAAGCTGCCGCCTTTCAAGACATGCCTGCTGCGGCGCCTGCCATTTCTGCGCAGTCGCTGCTGCGCTTGGCGTGACGTCGTGACGCCTGTATGTTGAGCGCGTTCTTATGTTGACGGTCGTTGCGCCTGTCGTTTCTGACAGGTCGTTGCGCCTGTCGTGCCTTAGTTTGTCCGTCGTTGTTCGAAACGATCGTTCCTGCACTCGGTGCGTGCTTGCCGTGCCTGATTCGTGGTGGGATACTTCAACGTATGAATTCGCGCTGCCTGTCAATTGTTACTCCATCTTATATTTGTCGAATCGTCTGTGGCTGAATCACTCTCGTATGTGATTTAGAACTGTCAAGCTGACAAGACCGTCGAAGTGTATCTGCCTTGACGACTATTCTTTGCACACTGGGTTGTTGGAGAGAACGGCTTATTTCAGGCCCAGCGTGACGCCATCACGTCTATCATGCCTGCGTAGCTGCGCAGTCGCGGGGTGTTCATTCTCAATGTGTCTTCCCATACTACCGAATCGTTGTTGTTAGTTTGTCTACAGCGGCACCTGTCTTCATCAGACTAGTTTTCGTTTGGCCAGCGTGACGTACGTGTGTATTGTCTTGTTTTGTAGGTAGTGGGATATTCGATTCTCGCCAGCAAGGAGTCAGCATTCGATGGCATGTTAGTTGATGCTTGATGGATTAAGGATTCGATATCGCTGCGAAAGCACGCTATCGCTACAGCCTTCCTCACACGGCTCCTCTCTTCCACCTCTTCTTCTTCTTCCTCTTCCTCCTCCCACTCCTCCTCCTCCTCCTCCTGCTCCTCCTCCTCCTCCTCCTCCTCCCCCTCCTCCTCCTCCCCTCCTCCTCCTACTCCTCCTCCTCCTCCTACTCCGGTCCTCCTCCTTCTCCTCCTCCTCCTCGTCATCGTCCTCCCCTCCTCCTCGTCCTCCTCGTCCTCCTCGACCTCCTCGTCCTCCTCGTCCTCGTCCTCGTCCTCCTCTACTCCTCCCCCTCATCCTCCTCCTCCTCCCTCCACCTACAATCCTCCTCCTCCCTCCTCCTCCCTCCTCTCCTCCTCCTCCTCCTCCTCCTCCTCCTCCTCCTCCCTCCTCCTCCCCTCCTCCTCCTCCTCCTCCCCTCCTCCTCCTCCTCCCCCCCTCCCTCCTCTCCTCCTTTTCCCCTTCCCCCCTCCGCCCTCCTCCTCCCCTCCCCCCTCAGGAACAAAACGGCATGAACAGAAACTCTCGGAGGTCCTCGCCGATCCAATGGGTCGGCGCCAGCGCTGGATGCGCCGCTCGGGGGCCCAGCAGAGATTCGAGAAACCCGCGCTGATCTGATATCTGAACGATTATGTTTATGCAATATGTTTCTTCGTCGATCGTCGTCCTCGTCGTGGTCCCCCTCGAACGCCTGATGTGGCGTCGTTGTCCCCGTCATTGAGGGGCAACGTTAGGGGGGGGACGGCTCAGGGGGGGAACCATCGACCTGAAATCGGCGATACACGCCGATAGGTCGGCGATAAGCCCCCGAAAGAGAACACTCACGATCCTCTGAACGGTCTATCTGAATGGTCTATCTGGACCCTGACGGCGATGAATAGGCGATTGAGGGTCGATACGCCCCGCCTGAGCGTCTCCCCAATTCACGTTGCTCCGTGGCTTTCGGGCCATCGCTCGGCTCCCAAGTGCCCGTACGGGACAGTCCGGGAACACCCGGAACGCCCCCGGCGAGGCGCAGCCGACGAAGAGAGCGCCCCAGGCTGGAAAACTGGCGAGAACCAACAAAAACACAGAAAAATCACGGAACTGCTTCTTAGCGTTGCACCGTCGCCGCTGCCGCCGTCGTCGGCAACGTCGACGTCGTCGTCGCCGTCGACGTCGCCGTCGTCGCCGTTGCCGACGCCATCGTCGTCGTCGTCGTCGTCGTCGTCGTCGTCGTCGTCGCCGCCGCCGCCGCCGCCGTCGCCAATATCGTCGTCGTCGTCGTCGTCGTCGTCGTCGTCGTCGTCGTCGTCGTCGTCGTTGTCGTGCTCGTCGTCGTCGTCGTGCTCGTCGTCGTCGTCGTCGTCGATGTGGTCGTCGTCGTCGTCGTGCTCGTCGTCGTCGTCGTCGTCGTCGTCGTCCCTCCTGGGCGCGGCCGGCGCCACCACCCGCATCTGCGCCGGGCAGGCGCCCCGCTCGCGCAGGCAGTCCAACGACGACTCCACGCTGTCTGGCAGCGCGCGGGGGGGCTCCCCCTCCTCCGCCTCCTCCTCCTCCGCCTCAACCTGCGCCTCCTCTTCCTCCTCCTCCTCTTCCTGCTCCCCTCCACCTACCATCCTCCTCCTCCTCCTCCTCTTCCTCCTCCTCCTCCTCCATACCCTCCTCTTCCTCCTCCTCTTCCTCCTCCTCTTCCTCTTCCTCCTGCTCCTGCTCCTCCTCCTCCTCCTCCTCCTCCTCCTCCTCCTCCTCCTCCTCCCTCTTCTCATCCTCATCCTCCACCTACTAACCTCCTCCTCGGGCTCCTCCTCCTTCTTCCCCTCCTCCTCCTCCTCCCCCTCCACATACTATCCTCCTCCTCCTCCTCCTCCTCCGGCTCCTCCTCCTCCTCCTCCTCCTCCTCCTCCTCCGCTTCCTCCCTCCTCCACCTCCTCCTCCGCCTCCTCCTCCTCCTCCTCCTCCTCCTCCTCCTCCTCCCCCTCCTTCTCCATACCTCCTCGTTCTCCTCTATTCCTCCTCCTCCTCCTGCTCCACCTCCTCCTGCCTCCCTCCCTACTACTAAGCTCCTCCTCCTCCTCCTCCTACCTCCTCCTCCCCGCCTCCTCCTCCTCCTCCTCCTCTCCTCCTCCTCCTCCTCCTGCTCCTCCTCCTCCTCCCCCTCCTCTCCTCCTCCTCCTCCTCCTCCTCCCTCCTCCTCCCCTCTCCTCCGCCCTCCTCGTCCTCCTCCTCCTCCTTCTCCTCTCCTCCTCCCTCCGCCTCCCTCTCAAAACGCTCGCCGCTCCTTTTCCTCCTCCGCCTCCTCCTTCTCCTCCTCCTCCCTCCTCGTCCTGCCCCTCCTCTCCTCCTCCCCTCCTCCTCCTCTCCTCTCCGCCTCTCCATCATCAACATCATCATCATCATCATCATCATCATCATCACTACCACAATCACCACCGACATGATCATGATGATCAGAATGATCAACATGGTCATGATGATCATCATGATCATCATGTTCATCATCATCATCATCATCATCATCAGCAGCATCATCGTCATCATCATCATCATCATCATCTTCACCATCAGCAACAGCAGCATCATCAGCATAATCATCATAATCATCAGCAGCACCATCATCGTCATCATCCTCATCATAATCATCATCGCCGTCATCATCATACTCAGCATGTTCATTACCATCGTATTCGTCAGCATCATCATCATCATCATCAGCATAAGCATCATCATCATCATCATCATCATCATCATCATCGTCATCAGCATCATCATCATCATCATTATCATTATCTTCATCAGCACCACATTCAGCATCATCATCAGCATCAGCAGCATAATCATCATCAGTATCAGCATCATTACCATCGTCGGTATCGTCAGCGTCATCAGCAGCATCCGCACCAGCATCATCATCATCATCATCAGCATCATCAGCATCGTCATCATCAGCATCATCATCATCATCATCAGCATCATCATCATAAGCAGCATCGACATCATCAGCATCAGCATCAGCATCAGCACCATCATCAGCAACAGCAGCATCATCAGCATTATCATAATCGTCAGCAGCAGTATCGTAATCATCATCATCATCATCATCATCATGATCATCAGCATCGTCATCATCAGCAGCAGCATACTTTCCAACATCATAAGCATCAACCTCACCACCTGCATACTCATCATAGTCATCAGCACGCTCATCAGCATCGTCACAAACATCAGCATCACCATCAGCATCCTATTTAGCATCATCAGCCACACCATCGTCAGGCTGATGACTATCATCATCAACAACACCAGCACCAGCATCACAAACAGCATCATCATCATCATTATCGTCATCAACATCATCGTCATCAACATCATCATCAACATCATCATCGTCAGCATCATCATCATCCGCATCATCCACCTGCTACCCCCCTCCTCCTCCTTCTCCTCATCCTCCTCCTCCAACTCCTTCTCCTTCTTCTTCTTATCGACTTAGTCTGTTTCTTATTGATTATCCTCCTCCTGATCCCCCCATCCTCAGATCTTCCCCCACCTCCTCCTCCTCCTCCTCCTCATCCTCCTCTTGCTCCTCCTCCTCATGCTCCTGCTCCTGCTCCTGCTCCTCCTCCCTCTGCTACACCCTTCCTCCTCATCCCCCCACCCAATCCTTCTTCCTCCTCCTCCTCCGCCCCCCTCCTCCTCCTCTTCCTCCTCCTTCTCCACCTCCTTCTCCTCTTCCTCCTCATCCTCATCCCCCTCCTCATCTTCCTAGTCCTCCTCCTCCTCGTCCTCGTCCTTCTCCTCCTCCTTCTCTCCTCCTCCTCCTGCTGTTACCCCCCTCCTCATGCCCCAAGCATCCCCTCCTCCTTCTCCTCATCCTCCTCGTCCTTCTCCTCCTCTTCCTCCTCCGCCTCCTGATCCACCTCATCCGCCTGATCATCCTCCTCCCTCCTCCTCCTCCTCCTCCTCCTCCG